CCCTCCGCGCCCTCCGCGGGGCTCCGCGGGGCTCCGGCCCCAAAACCAGCCCCAAAACCAGCCCCGAGCCCGCCGCGGGGACCCGCCCGCTGCCCCGCGGGGCCAAACGGAGGGCTTTGTAAGCGCTGCTCGCAGGCAGGTTGATGGGGATGGCGGGAGAGGCGGCACCGCGCTGGTCGCGCGCGGTGTCGCGGTGTCCCCTGTGCGCGTCGCGCGTTCGCGTTTTTAAATGTGTTTAAATGTGTTTAAATGTGTATAAATGTGTATAAATGTGTTGAAATGTGTTGAAGCGGGGTTCATCGGGAGAGGCCGCTGGGTGCTCGCACGGCGGCGGTGACATCGCGGCTCGGCCCCGTCGCTGCGCGTTCGGAGGTTCCTCTGCCGCTCTGGGGTTATTTTATTATTGTAGGAAAAAACCCAACAAAATCAACAAAAAGCAGCCAGCGTATTTAAATATCTATATCTTTTTTTCGTTCCGGGCAGTGAGGTGGATTTTCTTGTGCCTGTGAAATCCGCCCCTCTGGCTTCTCCCTAATGAGTTCATTAGAGGCAATCAGAGAGGGACAATTAGGGACGCAAGGTGACCAAGTGTAAACTCAAGTGCTGGGGGAAACTACTGCGAATTGTTCTGTTCCACCCGGGAGAAGGAACCGAGGTGGGAAACCAGCGATTCCCCCGCTCCGCAGGAGAAAAAAATTAAAAATCAGAATATACCTACAATCAAAAATAACGCTGTAAAAACGATTGGAGCCCGAAAGGACCGAGATAAGGTCGAAATGAATTTGCTGTCACCTCGCTCGGGCTCCTTCCCGCCGCCTCCCCCGAGCCTGGCTGCTGCCGCGCTGATTCCTGAGCGGTGATTTTTGGGTTTCTTACACTGTAATTTTGCCTTGCCCTCCTTGCAATTTGTGTGGTTTCGTAAGGCTTTAAACAAAGATTTTTTTTTTTTTTTTTCCCCAAAGTCGGGCTGGGATTTTGGCTGGCTGCTGGCATCGAGGGTCCCTTTCCCGCTCGCAGCCCGGGCGGTGAGGACGAGACCGCAGCCGGCTCCGGCCGTGGGAACCCGGCGGGGTTTTTAATTACCGGAGATTTTCTTAATAAGAAAGGAAACGATTTTATGCGATAAGTAAAGGGAAGGAAAAAAAAATTAAATTATGAGGCGGCTCCTCTACAAGGAGGGATGGTTAAAAATTATCTGCGATGGAAAAATTGATTGGGGGAGTTTCTCCGGGCGCTTCAAAATTGTTATTTTAATTTTGACGGAAATAATTTTGAGTGTTCGGGGAGGGTTTCATCCACCGAGAAAATGTCCGGGGATATTTTGTTTGGGAAAACAAATAATGAATTCAGAAAGATAAGCTGCTACTTTTCATGTAAATGTATGACCATAACAGAAAACTTTATTTTTTTTCTCCAATAATTTGAGAACGACTTCACGCTTTTATGTTCGGTTTTCAAATAAATCCCATTTCTCGTAACAATCTGGGCTGTGTCTTAGTGTACACAAGCACATGGGGTTTGTGTAACGATATAAGTTAATAAAATGCTTGAAATTTTAAATGCAGAGCTTGAGTAAAGCCGCCCCTGCGTTGTCGCAGTGCTGTCCCTTCCTAGACAGAGAAATATCCCTGATGGAATCTTACCTCTCCTCGGCTGAAAACTTTACCGAGCTGAATTTCTACAGAATCCCCAAAAGCAGCAAAAATTCTTTGCTTGCTGCAGCTGGGCGCTGAGCAGAGACCGGACCAGCGGGCTCGGAACAGCGCAGAATTCGAATGGCTCGAAGAAAACAACAACAAAAAAATCAAATCAACATTATGAAAAATACAGGAGGGACCGCGGGGAGAGGAGCCCCTTCGAGGCGTTTGGAAATGCGGGATTTTCCCCCGGGGCTCCCTTCGCCCGGGTCTCCGGGGGAGCCGCCGGTTTTCCTCTCGCAGCCTTTACCGGCAGCGGCAGCGGAGCTTTCGGGGCGCCTCGGGGACCGCTCCCGGGGCCGCTCCGGGGCCGTGCCCGGGGTCGTTCCCGGGGCCGTTCCCAGGTTGTTCCCGATGTCCCTCCGGGGCCATTCCCGGGCCATTCCCGGTGCCGTTCCCGGTGCCGTTTCTGGCCCATTCTTGGTGCCGTTCCCGGTGCCGTTTCTGGCCCATTCTTGGTGCCGTTCCCGGCCCGTTCCCGGTCCCATTACTGGGCTGCTCCCGGTGCCGTTCCTGGCCCGCTCCCGGTGCCGTTCCTGGCCCGTTCCTGGTGCTGTTCCCGGTGCCGTTCCCGGCCCATTCCCGGTGCCGTTCCCGGGCTGTTCTTGGTGCCGCTCCGGGGCCATTCCCGGTGCCGTTCCTGGCCCGTTCCCGGTACCGTTCCTGGCCCGTTCCCGGACTGTTCCTGATGCTGCTCCGGCACCGTTCCTGGCCCGTTCCCGGTGCCGTTCCTGGCCCGTTCCCGGTGCCGTTCCTGGCCCGTTCCCGGTGCCGTTCTCGGTGCCGTTCTTGGCCCGTTCCCAGTGCCGTTCCTGGCCCGTTCCCGGTGCCGTTCCCGGGCTCGCTCCGGTCCCACCTGCCCGCGGGGGCTCCGCGCGGCGTGTGTCTCCCCCCAGCGGACACCGCGGGGACTGCAGCGCTCCCGGCACCGCCCGGGCGCGGGGACACGGACAGAGGGACAGAGGTGGGGACAGAAGGACAGAGGGACAGAGGGACAGAGATGGGGACAGGGACAGAGAGACAGAGGGACAGAGATGGGGACAGGGACAGAGGGACAGGGACAGAGATGGGGGACAGGGACAGAGGGACAGGGACAGAGATGGAAACGGGGACAGAGGGACAGAGGGACAGAGATGGGGGACAGGGACAGAGGGACAGGGAGAGACTGAACGGGGAAAGGGAGAAGTGGGAGAGAGAGGGTGAGTGGAGAAAATGAGTGGGCAAAGGGAGAAGAAAAGTAGGGAAGGATGGAAGAAACAGAGAAAAGGAAAGAGAGAAAGGAGAAAATGGAGGAGGGAGAGTGAGGGGAAGGAAGGAAGGAAGGAAGGAAGGAAGGAAGGAAGGAAGGAAGGAAGGAAGGAAGGAAGGAAGGAAGGAAGGAAAAGATGAAGAAAGAAGGAATGAAGAGAAAGAATGAAAGAAAGAGGAAGACAGAAATAAAGAAGGAAAGAAGGAGAGAAAAAGCAGAAAGAAGAGAGAAGGAAAGCAGGAAAGAGGAAGAGATGTAGAGGAGGGAAAGGGAAAGGGAAAGGGAAAGGGAAAGGGAAAGGGAAAGGGAAAGGGAAAGGGAAAGG